TAATTGTCCGAAAATGAATTAATATTTATGTAAATTGTTGTATCTTTCATTCATTGGGAAATGTGCTGCAGTGGGAAAATTGAGAATGTACATGAATGTCATTGTCCACGTTTGTCGTAATCACGGTTACTAAAAGAGACCTTTGAAACAACGCGATCGGCCGGGAAACTAGCTCCACGGACAGTGAAACTGCAGGTCAAACTTCGCAATTTTTACAAATTGTGAATAGATACACTGTATGAAATCGTATTGTGTGGAAGTTTGTGTTTTCAGCTTCGGTGGATATAAACTTGTAACTTATATGTAAATGGTGGAATTCAGCGTTGATTTTTTTTAAATCGCTGACGTGCCGTTTTATTTCTAGTCGGCGCCACATTTAATGATAAATAGATCTTCGAAAATGAAATTATGATGCCATATGTGAACTAAATAAAAAATGTGTATACTCCTAGTCTAAGTCCCGGGTCCCTGTAAAGCTCGGTGGATTTTGTGTGTACGGCGACCTGTGAATGGGCATGTCGCTCAGTACCGCTGGGAACCAGACAGAAAATGAACCGTTGTCTGGTTGTCATAACATTGACCTTTGCGGACATAATCAACCAATTATAAAAGTGGATTCACGCAATCCTGTTGTTACATTGTACCAAGGAGCATAGACCTTAGATAGCCTGACAAGTTGGCGTAGGTGGCGCCCTGGACTGCTGCGATCCCCACCAAGACCTTAGAATGTCTATGCAAGGAGGTACTAACGGAAGCAGCGACAACCCCTCTCAAGTGGCCATTTAAGCCTCTTAACTGGCTTATTTCCTTTCGTTTCAACCCAAGGTAATCCTGATAAGGACACTGTCTAGCTCATCTTTGATGCCAATGATAGTTTGCGATTGCTTACACAAGTAACCAGTTAGCGGAATATGATATAACCTCGCTGATTTTTTAACATGACCATATAATATATGTCTAGACACTTTCTCAGCAATAGTATTTTTTAGGAGTCCTATTATTTGTTCTAGACTCTCGAAATTTTGTTCTTGTTACAGTTGCTAATAATTAAAACATGTGAAATCTGTGAAGTTACAAGTTAGTCTGTTGAATTTCCGGTTGTGAAATGCGTATTTTAACCCTTCACAGCTAAACAAACCCAGTGCGCATACGTGATGACCGTAGTTTCGTAATGCGGCGATTTTTCGGCAGTTTTTAAATATTTTGGCGTAATTTTTTAGACATTTCAATCTTTCCGGACGCCTAAAATAGTCTATTTAAGCACCGTCCCTCAACACGGACGGTGATTTAAATTTTTATTATTCAAGAGCGTGTTTATTGTTACAAGCGTGAATGGGTAAGCTTCGTGTGGACAAAGAGCTGCTATCACTGTAAACAATATTAAATTATTCTTCTGATGCTCAGTTCATCTTTTGAAAACAACTATTTTTTGACTTGAAAAAAAAAATCATGCCATTTTCCCATCACAATCCAAGCCAAAATATCGTACTACAACATCGGCAAATCTCTTCCGCGTTGCGTTCAATCTATTTAAATGAGCTATGGTGACTTGAACACATGGGCATCCTTCAGCATTTTGATTGGTTAATTAGCGATTTGACCTATTAGCTCAACTCATGCAAAAGAAACATGGCGGATACCCTACAGCATCGAGCGTTTATATGCGATCGGAATCATTTGCTTACGATGAAACTAAGTGAATTTTATTTGAATTTCATAACAATTCAACGAATTTATTTTTTGTGCATTATTATAATCACTACTGAATAATATTCAACAATTGTGAGACGCAGCATGACCGGATTGCGCAACCAGAATCATTTGCTACTACACAATGCAGTTGTGTTCGTTTTTATTTGAAACTTCGTTGAGAATATACTTTCGTTACCAATAAAATAAAAACAAATGTATTTGAAAAATGACACTGGGCGATATTGTAATGAAATTGCAGGCGGTCTACTTTTTAATTCAACAAGAATTATTAATTATTATTGTTAATTCTGCAATAGTTTCTTTCGTCTTTGGTGGCCCAACTGACGGTGTTGAAAGTCTGCGTACACTAGTTAGATACTTCAATGATGAAAATGGAAGTCCTCAAAAAATATTTGATGATTATTTTTTGAAATTCTGAGCCCAAAATAAGTGCCCACCAGCCGTGAAATCCCCAGGCGATTTTCGGATGGCTAATTTACGACGGCATATAAAGAAAGTACTAGTATTATTATGGACATCTCGCGTATATTGCCGATGTTTTATACTGTTTGTAGTTTGCATATGAAAGTGGTTGTTGATACCCCTCCTATTATTCGACGTCGTTGACAATGCGATAACAATGCCACTCGCACTGTGCACATTTTAGCACTAGATCTAGTGCCATTTTAGCACTAGATCTAGTGCCATTTTAGCACTAGATCTAGTGCCATTTTAGCACTAGATCTAGTACTTTTTCGGATTAGTGCTACTAGCACTAGCCACTCGCACTACGCCCATTTCGACACATTTACATACATGATATGTATGATATCATGTATGATGTATGTGTGAAGTTTGATTGTGATTGGTCCAGGCATTTGTAAGATACAGCTGCGGACACACACACAGACGCATGCACACACACATGCATGCACGGACACTCGGAGGTAAAACATAAGTTCCCGTTTTCAGACTGCGTCCGAACGGGGACTAATAAATGACAAAACAATCTACAAGAACACTAAATAAGCTATCCAAATAAGTAAAAGAAAGATACATGATTATGATAATGAGTAAAATTTATCGCTATGGCAAGTCATTCTTTCCCAGAAAGTCAGATTATAATATTAATTTGAATAATGAATCGCCTCCATAGTAATGTGTAAACGTAGGACATTAAAGTCAAGTATACATGTCTATGACGATTCATTTCATGATCAGATCAAAGATGGCCGACTGGCAGACATTTATAGCACAAGAAAAGTTTACTCAGTGAGTGGTATGCAAATGATCTCATAGGGAACATTGCCAATGAAATATACCACACTTGGGTTCAGTCAACGAGATCAGATATAATTGTGAGAGTTCAGATTAGTGTATTTAATCACACTACATGGGTAACACTTACGCTGCTGTAAAGCTGCATCCCCACAGGAAACCATGCTAACATCACACAGTAGACCTGTCCATCCGGGCATACATGTACAGGTATACTGGGCATTAATTTGAGTGCAAGTGCCTCCATTATGACACGGATTATTAACAGCACTGCACCAATCAATCAGAGTCTGGATCAAAGCAAATAAAACAACATGAGAATGTATCACTCACAATATGCAATACAGTAATTGGAGAATCATCGCTCAGTTTAAATCAAGCTGTCTCCAGAAAAAATTTACAAATGTTGTTATATGGAAGACCCTGGGAACCTTACGATACAACAACTCACAAATATTTAGGTACAATATACACATGTCATTTTAAAATAACAATGAAACAGCAATGTCTGTAAATTAGTTCATATTCCGCATGATTAGTCCACATAGCAGCTGACACATATTCTCAAGGCTACTCATAATTTTCAATTCATCCATGTTAAATTTCAGTAATATGCTTACAAGACGTGAACAGCATTCAATTAATACCTACACCCCCCACATATAAAGTTTGAAATCTTTTCAAAGGTGCAACCACATCTCAAAAATGTATCACATGATTAATTAGATTGTAGGGAAGACATGCAATATATACAATTATAGAATATCATAAATTGTTGTTTTAATACACTATAAGTATTAATCTTGTAAGAAAATTGGTTATTATCCACTTGTACCAAGTTGCCTTTCAAATTGAAGTCAAATTCACTGCATAGTTATTCACGGTATTGTTACATATGTCTAGTTCCTAATAATTCACTGATCACTGTAACACATGTCAAAATCCAGAAGTGGATTGACGATGATGCAATGCAGACAGATGCAGACAATGAACAGAGCAATATCTTACCTGACACAGCTCCCCATAATAACCTGAAAGACAGTTACATGTGTAGAATCCAGAATGATCAATGCATGTAGCATCATTCATACAAGGGTTAGATGCACACTCGTAGACATGGTACTGGCAATTAGGTCCTGTATAACCATGTGGGCAAAGGCAAGTATAACTGTTGACATCATCAATGCACGTACCTCCATACATACAAGAGCTGTGAGAAAAACGAAACGATGCATTTGATAGGATTACGCAGAGTTGGCTAATAACACAAATGATGTAAACGTATAACAATTAAGGAACAGCAAGTGAAACAGGTCAATGATGGACAATGCATGCAGGTGATAATTACCGTACTCAACCGCGTTAGCGCCCATGCCCGGG